GAGGCTTTGCAGGAAATGGCCTGATTTTTATGAATCAGCGCCACATTTCAGGGAAATGTCCTTCCTTTCCGTAAACCAATTCTAATTTGCTTCACACCACCACCATGGGATGAAAAAAGGTGGACACATCTGTGTGAGGCAGTGTGAAAGATGAGACCTCCACCGCGAGAGGACGGATGGAAATGCATCAGCAGTGAACAAATACAGCCAACAACTTCCCTCCATTCATCCATCCCTCAGTGCAACAGATGTTGCAGGCTTGTTTGTGTTTGCTTTCCCATGGCACACTGTGGCTCCCCTTTTGTTTGTTTATGCTCTCATTCCTGTCCTTGTCTTGAGTGGATGCGGAAATCTGAATGTGCACGCACAGAAGTGCGTTTATGTATGCGTAGGTGGAGGGCTTCGCTAAGAGATTGCCAAAGCACCGTCATGCTCATGATAGGGTTGTATGACCCCTTTGTAAACCTGGAGCTCGACCCCTGACCTTTTGAGAAGTGATGAAATGGGGGGAAAACTCTCATTTCCTTCTACCAGGGTTTTGGACTCTCCTGGTGAAACGGAAGGATTGTTAATGAGCTTTGGGATGGATTTTTAATGGAACCACCAATTTATTTAAGGAATAACAGCGGGACAAAAAGATTTCAGAAAGAAGAGAAACAGGTGTCAACACTTTACTGGACATGGGAAAACACAATTTTGGGAGATGATTTTATCTCTTTTGTAATAATGAGTTCTTAGAAAGAGGTCAGTGGTTCACTTAAATGCCAGACTGTCACACACAGAATGTTATTTCTCCTAAAACAAGTTTTTTGTTTCGAATTTAGGATAATTTGAAACCCTGAGGAGGTGGCCTACCCTCAGGTATTATGAGTGTTATGTGAAGCTCACTGTGCTGCTCTGACAGAGGAATTCCTTGCATACACAGATGCTGATTTCTTTTTGCTTCCCTCTGATGCCCACATTTTCAGGTAATGTTTATATACCACACGTCGCCAGTGATGAATGGACTCTTTCCAGTCAAACGCTTATGACAAAAAAAACTCCAGAGTTGTGTATTTATTTCCTTGAATCATGGTCCATTTCGCCTACCTCTTGATATAAATATTATGAGTAACTTCTGCTGATTTATAAGATTTTCATTTATCATCCACTCCTGTATATTTTAATGCGCCCCCTTCCTTACTCACTCCCATGTACAGACTCATGCAGCATACATCATTCCCACCCCAGTTTGTTTTCATTTTTATTGTGAGTTGAGTAACATCAGGGCCTTGGTTGGTATTTCATCAGAAGTAAATGCTGCTCTGTCATAACTTTTAAAACGTGCTACTGCTCTTGCTTAGTTCCTCTTCCTGTCTTTTCTGACCTTTTGTTTCCTTTGCTGAGTCAGGGACTGCTGTGTGACCCCCTGTTCATATGGAAAAGGATGTGGTGTTTGGGACAGGAAAGGAATAGGAAGAGGGAACTCCCGCAGTGTCAAGGAAATGATGGCCATTCATACCTTGAACTTCATGTGTCACTTAAGGAGAAAGCAGTTATTCTGCAATCCTCTCAGTGGCAATGGCCTCAGGAACAAGGGGTCAGTTAGGACGTCAGCCGGGTGGTCCGCAGGAGTGTGCTGAAGGAGGTCAAAGAGCAGGGTGGAACATTTCCGATGTTCTGAGTAAAACAGACATCACGGGTCACATTACTGTAATCGCTTTCTCCGATGCGCACACAGAACATTAACGGCACACAGGAAGAAGGGACACCATCATATCAGTGACGGCACATTGGCACACTGGCCACACACCCGGACCTGCCTGACGCCTGTCGTCCATTTGCCACGTTCTCATGAGCAGGGTGTCTCATGTCTTTCTCTATTTTTACCATCAGGCGCTGAAAGGGTGTGGAAGCGCCTTGTCAATGGGCATCTTATTCCACTGCCAACAGCGTGTCACCATTTATTAAGTCATCATTACTCAGGACTGCTTCATCTGCCGAGGTGCCAGGGGGTGTCGCAAATAGTTTTGGTGACGATAGGCTGGACAGTTGCTGGCCTCCCTGTAGAGGAACCCGAAATGGCGAGTTCTAACACGTCTCACTCCGCTGGTGAGGATCGATGCAGGTAGCCAGGCTGCTCTTAGTTCGTCTATTGCAGACAAATGAATGGAAGGTGGTGGATTGTGGCTGCAGGGAGAGAGAGAGAGGTCTGTGGAGATATGAAGAGAGGTGCCGTTCACGCTTCCGTCCACAACTCTTTTTGTTTGGGGTAAACAGCTAAAAAGGCTGTTTAGACTAAAAGGATGATGATAAATGTGGCAGGAGATGACATGGCTGTGGAAGTGAGTGCACAATGGAAAGCATTGCTATATAAGGGCACTCTTATGAAGCCAGATCGACAGAAGCATGCAGAAGAGCAAAAAAAAACAAAAAAAAAAAACAGATCAGCTCCATCAACTACATTTAACTCTTCTGGATCTGATTAAATGCTCTCAGTATTTCATCACAGTGATTCTTGGATCAGTTTTTACATTATGTCATATCTCAAAATGGAATTCTGGTATGTGTTGAAAGAATAACATGTTCCTTATCCAGCAAAATGGAAAAACAATCCCTGAACCCTAAAGTTAGAGGTGAAATGGAACACAAACACACTTGCAGTGTTAGTAATAATCCAATTCTGTTAGCGCATCATCTCTAATCGTTTCTTGGTAATTAAGAACATTTACATCAGATCTGGCCATGATTTCTAGACATTAAACTGAATATAAAATTATGGCTTATGGCATATTTTAACCGCATATGTACATTTCTGTGCATATATATTCAAACTTCTTTATATTGCTTCCAAAAGCCTTAAGTGAAAAAGTTTGAAAGTTGCAAATATGACACCCATATAGTTGCAAAATACCAAATCAGATACATCCAATGATACAACAGCAAAGAAGTCAAAGCAGAACGTGAGGGCAGAAGCGCAGTGATGCAGGTACCCTCATATCCCGAGCACAGAGTCACCGTGCTTGCCATAAGTCGGCCTGGTTCTCAGGTTGTTTTTCCATCAGTATCTTGAAGTGTGTGTGTTGACACATCAGCACTCGTGTTTATCAAAGCTTTTATCACTTCACCACTGCTATGTCACCCCTTAGAGGAAGCAGGAGGTGTATACACACACACATACACACACACACACAAACGCACGCATACACAGGCTAGCACCTGCAAGGGCTGGCTGTAGTTAAAACTTGGGGGTTGCTGTTGGCCTGCCTTGCTGATTTGAATGACTTTACCAGAGACAGGATCCATCCCCGACCATCCAGGTTAACTACAAGCATGTGTTTAAACTTAACTGTGCGGTTTAGGGGCAAAAATGACAGTTTCTGTTGGAGCAAAAAAGCTATCTTTAGGATATTCTTGTTGATTGAAATAATGAAATGCATATTTTATCTGATATCTGTGTGAATAATTCACTGTACAGATGCAAAGTTGAGGGTTGTGCTTATGTGTACATGATCGAGCTAGTGTCAAAAAGCAAACGTGGAGTTAAAGCTAAAAATATAAATAAATACTGCCTTTCACTTCATTTGAAAAAACAAATTGAAAATAATCAGGCATGCTCACTTTGTTACATATATGATAACTTTATTTTTATTTTTAATCAACCAGTTTACAGCAAATTTGTTTGGCGTTGTCTTGCTGAAATGATAAATTCCAACTGCTTTCTGTTCATCTGGGACGAGCCTGTGCTCAGAGAAATACGTGGCCTCTCTGTTTTGAGCTGACATATTTTTCTCTTTGTGGAGCACAGTTTCAGGTTACATTTCTGGATGAAGCGGTGGCTGTGATGAGTGATGATGGTTTTACAGGTTTTGCCTGGTGGCAACCTGAAGTCCTGAAGGTTACCTTTAGTTGCAGTGAGGTTTCCTCAAGCTCCTCAAATCCCTTCTGAGTGATAGTGAAATGATATCGAAAGAGCAGAGTTCTTTGCGAAGTGGCACTGAAACGTAGTCTATGAAATCTGAGTTTTACACAAAGCGGAGAAACATTTAAAAAGAAATGGACAGTGTTAGAGCAGTGTTAGCTCTTAGGGGTGACAAAGTTGTTTTTGGGGTGTTTTTTCTCTATTGACTTGCTTTCCACATCCAATTTACAAAAGCCAATGCTTAATCTAATGCTTTAAAACATGGCTCACAACATTAGCAGTCTGTATCTTTTCCATTGGTACTCAGAAAGTCAAAGATGCATTTAATATGACGTATTCATGAAAATGGCAATTATCTCAGATAAATACTTTTTTTTTATATCCGAAAGAAAGAAGCAATGGGCAAAATAAAGACAACTTACACAAAAAAGTCAATGCTATAAATTCTGACCATTCACTATACTTCCTATCCATTCCACTCATCACTGCTCTCCAGTCATACCCCCCTCCCTCCAGCACTCCCTCTCTCTCAGCTGCTCTCCCTCCCCTCCCCTCCCTTCCTGTGGATGGTGTAGCTCTCTCGCCGTCTGTTGGAGCTGCACACAAGGATTAGAGGGTTGCTGTGAGTGTCTGCTCAAAAGGAAGAAGCAAGAGGACAGAAAATTTGTTTGCTTTTTGTTTTTTGCTTTTTTTTGTGTGTGAAAAGGACAGTCCTGTTATTGTGGATAAGAACTGTGATTCACCTTTACGCGGCCCCTCTGCATCTCATCACAGTCAAACCAAAGTGAATCACTGCCCAGCCTTCACCTGGGGGAGGACAGATAAGCCAAGGGACTAAATAGCCTGGACTTCTACGCGGGGAGCCATGTGAGCGGCAGCCCCTTCTCCAGCGTCACACCACCGAACTCCCCAACAATCTGCACTCTGAGCTGGGGAGCGCAGCCAGGATTCCCTCCATCTCCCTGGAACATCTACTTTCAGCGCTCGCGTGGGGGGGGGGACTCTCCAGGTTTGGCGCACCTCAAGGGAAGACACTCGTCTCGGGGTCGGGCTGTGAGTGCCCCCTGGTCTGGAGGCCAGCCAGCAGCACTCCAGCACCATGGATTACCTGCTGGGGATTGTAGTTCTGCTGTGCGGGGTGGTGCAGCCTGGAAGAGGAGTTGAGCCCAAGCACAACGTACCCAGACTAAAGCTGTCATACAAGGGTAAGCCCATTCTATGCTCTCCCTGACTCCAGGTTATAAAGGATTGTCATGGTAGCTGCTGCTTTTAACCAGGACAAGTTTTTCTTTTTCTTGCCTATGGGTGCTCTTTTATGGTTTTCTTTTCATCTATTCTTTGCCATGTTGAGTATCCCTTTTTTTTCTCCTATCTCACTGAGCCTATTTCTCCCTCTCTTCAGCTCTTCTGCTCCGTCTCTCTTGGTCAGCAGACAGAATCTAACTCTCCCCTTAACCTACCTCTAACTCTCCCCTTCCTTCTCACTTGCACTGCCTGTCTCTTAGAATTCACAATTCTCCGTACAAATAGTTAGATTGTTTCCATATGCTGTGAAAAGGGCTCCTGCCTGAAGTTAAATGTATGTATTGGCCCCGGTATCAATTTTCCCTGTGTGCTGTCCACTTCTGCTAGTCCTGTAGAGTGCTGTTAAGTGCTCTGATGAGGTAGCAGAGCCTCTTTTTTAATGTATTCTGTCCAAAAACCTTTTTAAAGAAGAGGGGGGGTATGCATCAGTCAAGACACAGAGCCTTTCTTCGGTGGGCCATACAGGTTTCTCAGTTCTTATTTCTCTTCACACGGACTCAGTAGTTGTAGAGTTTAATTACGTTTTGATTAAGCTCTTAAACTTCATTGCATACATTTTCAATTTTCCTTTATTATCGGAGAACAGCAGAATTTCTCCCTTTCTTAAATAAACGGTGCACGTGTACATTTTTTGACGTATATAGCAAACATGTTATTCTCTCTCTCCCCTGTGTTATTTTGAGGGGAGACTGCGGAGCGCCGGTTCTTCCTCTCCTCCTCCCTCTTTCTCTCTCTCTGTCTCGTCTCCTCTCTCACACCCTACACTAAATCAGGCTCTTTGTAATAGCAGACTTTTCATCTTGGCCAGAAATAACTGGCAACATTTTTGCCATATTTTGGGGATTTTTTTTTTTTCTTTTGACTGAAAGTATATGGCTGGAAGTGTGGTCTCCCGATTCTTTATTTTAGTCCCGTTCACCAAATCACACCCTCTAGAAATTTATGAACAAGCTGATTTGCAGCTGAAGCATGAATGTGGTTGAAAATCCCCGTCTGGCTTTGAATGTTAACCGAAGCTGTGCTGTTTCTGACAATTTAGTTCATTTTGTAGACAAATCAAATGTTGGTTTTGTAGAAACAGTGACTGTGATGTTTGTCACTAATCCATCCTCTATCTTTAGACGAGATGTTTAGTACAACTTATGTTTAGAGGCCTGCTATATGACATGCTTTATTCTTTGGATGGAATGAAAGTTATAATTTAGAGGGCAGTATATTTCCCTTTATCACCCTTTCAGCTTCCACATAAGTATGATTGCATGTGTTCCGAATCTAAAATAAAAACGTGACTGACAGTTTAGTGTGGTGGGCACATCGTGAAGATTTGAACATACACTCAACATGAAGAGAATAAAGCTGGAAAGAACCATAGCTGAACTTACCTTCTGCAAGTCATGCATCCCCTGGGCTCTATCATGTCAGTTCACACCATGCAAAGCTTATAGGCATGATGAGAAAAATGTCTTCCCTTCGTTACACATGGAAATCTGTGTAAAGAAGGTGAATATAGTTCCTTCCTGCCCTCTTTTGTGATCTTCTTCTCCCTTGTATGACAAGCGAACATGTTGCTGACAAGAGATTTGTCATCATGCATCAAAGTGTGTATTGACGAGTGATGGATGTGCATCATCAAACCAAGAGAGCAGGTCTGCTGGGAAATAGTGGCCTGTCTCTCAAGATGTAGTGTTATTTCTCAAAAATGTTTGCTAAAAGCCATGCTGTGCATGTATGTGTGTGTGTGTGTGTGTTTGTGAATGTTCTTGCGACGTGGTGGTGTGAGGACTCAACACCCTCTCTTGTGATTTCCTCCCCCTGGACTGTAAGTGGTGTCTCGGTGTGTGTGTTTTAGCGCGGCAAAAATGTGTCGGGCTTTGCGTGTCCTAATATAATTAGACACCTGGTTTTTCTGCACGTGCTTGTGCGCGAGCGTTCAAATCTGCACGTTTTATTGTGCCGGTGGAATTTTTCTTGAATAAAGTGTGATTGCAGTCTGTCATTGTCAGGCCTTTTTTTTATGCGTGCGAGTGTGTGGGAAGTAAAATGCACGAGAGGGAATCATGTGCCACTTTGGCTGTGTGTCGCTGCCCGCCAGCATCTCGTGTGTCGTGTTCCCACAGGTGTTGGACGGCCCCTCAGGATTTCTGTCTGGAGACAATTCTCAGTTCAACACCCACATGGTCGAAGGATGGTGGTGGTGAAGGCTGGGGGGATAATTTGCTTTTTAATGAAGGCAAAGCTGTCAGATATACAGTAGAGGACTCAAAGGAATGGGATACTGGTTGTTAAGTGAAGTGTCGCTCGTCCCCTCTCCGTGCACAAAGCCCTCCGTCAATTAAGTCAAATAAGCAACAGGGAGGAATCCTCCTGGGAAGGAGAGTCAACCAAACAAATCCCCAGAGTGGGGCCCTGGAGTGGGGTGATCACACTCGGATTCTGAGCAGTTATCAGGTCCTGTGATTTGGGCCAGTCAGATAAACACAGAGCAGGGAGACTCTCCCCTCATCTCATTCAAGCAGAGTCCCGTCAAATCACTCTCAAATGAGAGCTGATGACAAGCCCCCAAGGGACTGATTGTGACACAGAAGTGAACGATTTTCTGGAAAGGACAGGCAAATCTCTGCGGAGTGAACAGCTTGCGACAGAGAGAAACTGAGAAATAGAGAAAGGTAGATAAAATGACCTCTCAGGGGATGGCTGGCAGAGCAAGTGGATAGTAAATGATTTCCCAGTGGGGTCAGTTAGACAGTTCACTAAAATGTTGCAGCTTCATGGGGTACAGAGCAATGATCACAAAAGTTAATTATTTTCTCTTCTCCTCAAGACATAAATAGCAGTAACTTTTCTCACCTTGTTAAAATGGAAGTATAAGGAGGAGACAAGGTGAAATCTATGTTTATGCTGTCACAATTGATGGAAATTTATGTTGTGTTATGAGAATCGAATAAAGGAAAGAAGCTTCCAGCTTCCAACTAAACGCAAGTCACTGTTAGATATGATCAGTCACACTGAATCACTTAAATGTGTACTATTTGACCCAAAACTACTCTGTGGCACTTCTACACAACAGTATCACTCATATGAATTTCAAGGATATTGATGCCCTTCTGCTGATCAATGCATACCGGCACACAATCACATTCCTGAGCACAATTTCTGCATAGCATACTGTGCAAGCAGCCATCAGGAGTAACACTGACCCCTAAAGGTCAACAAAGGCACATACAGCTCACAGAAAAGGGGCTTTGTGAGAAACGGCTAAACCTGACACTGTTTGAGTGCATTATATGAGGTCAGTGAGGGGTGAGTTGAAGCCTAATAGCTGCCATGTTAGTGTGTAATCACGTTGCTCTGTCATTTATGCTATCAGTTCCCTCTTGATGGCGGAAACTTCAGAGGAAAGACGGAGTATGAATGAAAAAGAAGCAAAAAAAAAAGCTGGATTTGGCATTCGAAACAGACACTTGGTGTGGAACCACACTTAGCGCAGTCTGGACCAAGCCCCATACTGAGCCAGTGTGTGTGTGTGAGTGAGTGTGTGTGCGTATGGGTGTGTCTGCTTCTCTATGAAAATATGTGAATTTGGTATGTGTGTGGATTTGTACATTTGTGTTGTTTTCATCTTTTATGTTTCCCCCTGCTATTCGTTCTTTGATATGTGCATTAGCTCTCTGCTGGATCTTTTTTCTCTGCGTTCTGCGGCTGACAGAGCGGATGTAGATAATTACAAGGTGTTATCCAAATGCACCAACTTTGGAGATGCCTGCCTCCATTTCTCTCCCTCTTACTTTCTCATAGTTTTCCTCTTCCTCGCCCTCTCCTGGGGCTCAGTCGCTTCTCAAGGAACCTCAACACCACAAACCCTAAGTGCAATCTTCCAGAGGACTTGTGTGTATCTTCTTTTCCTGTCTTTTTGATTGCGGCTCTGTTGATACATATCGTTTTTTTTTTGTCTATCCTTCTTTTCAACTCCATGTGGAGGACACCCACACACTAAACTACCCTCATCCTTGCTCCCACACACAAACATTCCAAAACATGTAGTAGAAACCGATGTTTTGCTGGAGCCTCCTTTTAAAAAGTGCCCCCATCTTGAACTTGAATTTCCTCCGTATCCTTGCCCTGACTCACAAACCTAACCACAGTTTGCTAAGCTCCCACCACCCAAGTCCACAAGTTGAAAGATGGTCAATTTCAATGTGTGTGAGCATGTATATGTGTTAGCACCCATTGCCTAACAGATAATTGTCAGTTTAACCAATTTCATTTGCGAAACAACAGCCCATTCATCCATGCGGTTAAAGTCTGTCACTTGTGTTCATTGCAAACTGCAGCTAAGATATATTATTGTTACCCTCCATTTAATTTCAGTTTTATGACTTTACCTTTTAATTGTTCTGTGGTTTTGACTCTGAGTTGTGTTTCCCTCATGTTATGCACTGCTGTTTGCTTTGGAGAATTCAGCTTTAACAAAAATGATAAAAAAGAATCAACTCGAACACCACAGACCAAAATGGTGTCAGTGCTGTTGTGGTGTTTGTTTTGCAATTACTGTGTGCACACTGTGAGTGTTTATGTTCAATGTACATTTCTGTCTGTGTGTACATACGAAAACTATCCTGTATCTTTGTATCTGTGTTTAGGACTCCGGGCTTGAGTTACCGCATGGTGCAGATTGCAGAATCGGGGGTATGAATGGGTCCTGCCACCTGCTAAGTCTTGTCAGTCAGATGGAGTAAGGGTGCCACGTTCGATTTGGGCAGAGTCATGTTTCAAATGAGAGGGGGGGGGGGATCTCTGCAGAGAGATGGATAAAGGTTTGTTAGACCACAGCCAAAGAAAGGATGAATGTAAAGTGTATTTTTTTCTCTTTTATGGGAGTATTGCTGTTAAGGATTTTCTG